CGCACGCACTCGCATAGACACGCACACGGCCTGGGCTGACGCTGGCCGTGATCCGCGTAAACAAGGAAAGAACGAAAACGCGGGTGGTATGAGAAATTCACGTGGCTGACAGCGGGGAAAGGGGGGGACGCACACAAAGTACACGCGGGCCTGGATTTGCTTTATCTCTCTTGCGCAGGCAACCCTTTCCGCTCTCTCGCTCGCCCTCGCTCGCTGGCTCTCTCTCTCCCCCTCGCGCTTCGCGGATCCTGCTTCGCCACGCGTTCTTGTTTGGCGCGCGCGCGCGCACCTATGCACCACACACAAGCTAGCGTGATACTGACTGATTAGGCGCCGAAAAACGCCGGTCACTGCGATCGCGATCTCCACACTATCGACGAGGCGCTCGATACGCAGAACACAGGAGACGGAAAAGAGATAATACGAGCGCGGCGGGGCACGATCCAAGAGGGAGCGGTGCATCGCGAGTCGGCGGCGGCGCGCCCGCGGAAGGCGGCTGGTGGAGTGGGGCAGGAGCAGGCCAGAGCCCGAGAGGCAGCGCCGCCGGTCACCTGCTCACCTGCTCACCGCGCCCGGAGGAGTGAGTGCGAGAGAGCGCGATAGAGGACAGGATTCGCGCCGCGTCACGGACGGCCGCGCGTGGCGGCCTCAGTCGACATGTCGCCGGCGCTGACGGGCGCGCTGTTGTTGGCGCTCGCGGCCGCGGCCGCCTCGGCGGCGGCCTGCTCGGGGGCCAGGGCGCCGCAGGCGCGCTACAGCAGCAAGACGGCGTACCAGCTCGTGCACGGCGACGACACCGCCCCCCAGGACGTGGTGCAAGGTGAGCGTGATCCTGGCTGGAGTTGATGTTCCGGTGTGAAAACCGCGTGCCAACAAACTGAATAAAGCATTCCGGTAAAGCTGAAATGCAGACGCAGACCAAAAAACGGAAGTCACCTTGTTAAAGCATAGTGATTTCCGTTTTCTTCTTCCCCGCATTCTTCTGCATGTCAGCTTTACCCGGAATGCTTTATTCAAACTGTGTAGCAGTGCAGTTTAATCTGATCGGGTTTATCTGATCGAGCCTCTTGTGTGGACTTTTTAGACAGTCACCAAAGGTTTTGTCTACTAGAAGGAAAAGTGCCCAATCCCCCACAATCCCCTCTCTCGTTTCTCTAGAACTGGGCCACCGGCGGCGTTTGATGTGATGTGTGGCGTGGTGCGCTGATGTACGTTTATTGTTTACCAACGCAAAAGGTACTATATAGGATTGAGAGTGTATTTGCACCTTGCCGAACTGTTGCAACTTATGTGTTTTTTGTGTAGCTTCTTGGACTTTTATAGACAACTAGGAAACACTGTTTGCTGAGCGGTTCATAGCTGGTCCGAGGGGTTGGAGCTCAAATAACAACACTGAATAGGATTTTTGTTCAGAAAAGTGTAGTTCAGAACCCTATCAAAATCTAACCATGGTCTTCGAAAACACACGACTGTTCAGGCTGCTCCGCCGTCTACCTCTGGCACACTCTGCGCCACGGCACGCGATACCCGAGCGCCAAGCAGGTGGGCAAGCTGGCCAAGCAGGTGCCGGCGCTGCAAGCGCGGTTGAGGGACAACGTGCGGGCGGGGCGAGCGAGCTGCGCGCCCGAGGCGCTGGACCGGATGCTGGGCTGGACCTTCAACGTGACGCAGGCCCAGGGGAACACGCTGCACCCGCAGGGCGAGCGGGACCTGCAGGGCGTCGGGCGACGCTTCAAGCGGCGCTACTCGGAGTTCTTCCGCCGCCACCCACACCCGGACAACTTCACGGTGAGGAGGGGGAGAGAGCGGCCAAAGTGTCGGGAGGGAGCAGGGCGCAGGTTGGGCAAAGAATGTGAGTGTGTGTGTGTGTGTCTGTACGTACCTTCGCGCGCGCGTGTGTATGTCAAAGATAAATAAGTCCAAGCAAGTAGACGAAGGGAGGCGGGTAAATTATTTTGACCGGTTTTCCTGCTTTCCGCAGTTCCGCAGCACCGACACGCAGAGGACCCAGGCGAGCGCAAAGTGGTATGGTAATGGCCTGTTTGAAGAACCCATCAACCTGCCCGAGCCTCTTCCGGACGACCCGCTGCTAAAGGTGAGCGCGCAGATTCGCCTCCCCCGGAGTCGGCGGTGAAAATGATATTAGCAGTGACCTGACGTGAGTGAAAGGAGGTGGGGGGGGGGGGCACCACCTCCAAAATTTAGTGTTCTTATCAATACACTGAAATAGTGAATAATCACTGAATATTCGCTAGTATCGACTGTGAATATTGTTGGTTCTAATTTCCCCCATTTACCGCGAATACTCGAGGTTTGTGCCCCCTCTCATGCGAGTGCGATCCGATTCAGTTCTACGACCTGTGCCCGGCGTGGACTGCGGCCGTGGACAAGAACGCGAGCGTGCGCGCCGAGGTGACGGCCTTCGAGAAGGGCGGGCCCGTCATGCGAGCCGCCCTGGCGAGGATCGCCGACCGCCTGGGCTTCCAGGAGGGCCTCACTTACGGTGAGAAAAAAAACCGTGGCAAGCCTTTTTTTAAATCGTTCTTTACCAACAATTAACCATCAAGGAGAACAGTTACGGAGAGCTCAGCGCCTGCGAGACTCGGGGTAGGCCACCCCGCATCACACGCACGCACTACGAGCAAGATGCTTAGCCTATCTACCAGGCGCTAGGAGACCTTGCATTATTGGCTGAACTTAGTAATTCCGAAACAGCGGATTATAGACGCACTTGTTGGATGTTTCAGGTCAACGTTAACACACTGCACTCTGGTGTCACCGATTTTAATTAATTGTTCTGATCCCTTCACGCCAGACGACGTGGCCCCTATTTGGGAGGCCTGCCGCTACGCCCAGGCGTGGGACCCCGGCACTGAGGCGGCCTGGTGCGCGGCCTTTGACGAGGAGGATTTGCGGGTAAGCAATCAGCAACTCTGCAAAAGGAGCTGTCATACTTAACCAGCCCTCCGTAGCTTCTTATTTAAGCTTCAAACTACTGACAGACTGAATAGTCTCGCAGTTCCAACAGACAGACTAGTAATTCTCACAGTTGTTAAAACTGACGTCTTGTACTCGTGGAACGTTAAGCTAGAGGTTCAACCGTATACAGTAAAGATTCGCAGACCGGCCCGCTGTCCGAGCTTTTCTCGTGGGCCCGCAGGAGGGTGCGGCACGACATCGCTGATAACTGAAATGTGACTCACACTTTGAATGAGTCCAAAAGCGTGTCCAACGTGTGCTAGTCGTGTGGTCACGAAAGGCAGCATGCGCCTAAGACCGAGGCCTTATGACGTCGTTAAGTGTAAAACTTCCTTCATTCAGTACAAAATGTGAGACAGTCTCACATTTAAGTAATATTCGTGACCGATGTGTGGCCTGATGTGGCCTTTACAAACAGCCGCTAGAGCATCTTCACGGGCAGATATCAGAGGTCGTGAGAGTGGCTGACAATCGTATTTTTCATAGAAATGAAGGTGTTGGAGCGTCTCTGCATTGACAGGTGTTCGAGTACGGCTCCGACATGAAGTACTACTACGTAGACGGATACGGAACTGCCATGAACCAGCAGCTCGGCTGCCCTCTCGTCAAGGACGTCGTCGATAAGCTGAGGTGAGAGGTGGCGGCAGCAGAGGCTGCAGCCTGCAGCAGCGGCGAGGGGCGTTCCCACGCGGACCGTCCTCAAAGCGACTAAATTCAAACGACGCGCATCCGCTCCCCTTCGCAGTGCGTTCGAGCGCGGCGAGGCGCGCGAGGCCGGCAGCATGTACTTCACGCACTCCACCGCCATCCACATGACGCTGGCCGAGCTCGGGCTGGGCCACGACGCGCGGCCCCTCACCGCCGCCGACTACGAGACGATGAAAAACGAGCGGCTCTGGACCATGTCGCGGCTAGCGCCCTTCGCGGCCAACCTCGCCGCCGTGCTGTACGAGTGAGTGGAAACGGGAGCTCCCCACGTCAGGCGGGCAACCTAACCTCATCTTGTCACAGGCAAAGCCGGACCCGTCCGCTTGTCTGATGCGGCTTCGAAGAAAAGGGCCAGGGAGGGCGTGGTTTGACTGCACAGCACCAACACTGTTCTCGATATAGACACGAAAATGTCAAATGTGATTTCAACTTAAGTCAAATTATTCGCAATTAATTTTAACACTATTCGCAATTATTTGTTTACAAAATTGTAACTTTGAAATTGACTGTCCATTCTAATCCGACGTCATCATGATCATGTCTTCATCCGTGGCTGCGCAGGTGCCCGGCCCAGAGCGGCGAGAAGTACAAGATCAGGCTGTACGTGAACGAGCGGCCGGTGGCCATCGCGGGCTGCACCGACCCCGACTCTCTGTGCTCCTGGTCCGACTTCAAGAGGCACTTCGAGGCCGTGACAAACTCGTGCAGTTTGGGATTCTGCAACCGAGTGCCGAGCGGCGCCGCTGCCGCCCCCAGCCGCGCCCTCCTGTTCGCGGCAGCTGCGGGGGCTCTTACCCTCCTGCTCGCGCGCCGTGTTCCCTGACTGGAGCCGACAATACCTCCGCATTTATGCTGTAATAAAATTATTTATAATCGAACAAGGCCGCACGGTGTTGTGTAACTCCGGCCCCGCAACACATCTAGGGGCGGAACCAGGCCTGCGCGGCCGGGGCCGACGCCCCGCGCATACTTTGAGGAGGCAAGTCTCATTAACTAACCGAAGGACATAAATTCGATTTTACGGGCCGAGGGGTTTGTGGCCTGCGCGCCTTGGGAGCCGCCCCCCGGCGCCGCCCCCGGCACTACTGCTGCCCCCGGTCCGGCCGTCCGGCCGCCCCCGAGGCCCCCCGGCCCCAGCCCCGGCCCACCGTTAACGTTACACTCTGCCCCCGCGCTGCTGTTTCGCAAAATTTATGGTCCAACTCGATGCGGTCAAGTTTTCTGATGGATGACTTAAAGAGGCTCCGGCCGGGCTGCCCTGCCCTGCGCGCTGCGGCAGCCGTCACCGCCACCGCCTGCAAGAGTAATTAGCTGTAATTCTCTCATCACCTTTCCGAAATAACGGCGCGCGCCTTCGCCTCGGGGAAGGGAAAGGAGGAGCGTGGGAGCAATCTCGAGCCGCGAGGCGGAAACCACACCGCCGCCGCCCCTCTGGAAACGAATTACAATTCCGCGGGTAATGTACGCCCTTTTGAGAGAGGGCGCCGCGGAGAAGAATGAGGATCAGAGAACGGCATAAGG